TGAAAAGGGCTCTCTTTGGTGAGAGTCCTTGAGGAATGTACTCAGGGAAGGGAATTCTTAGGACTTGTTGGGAACTTGGACGCTGAACTCAGGATGCATAAAAGATTATTTCTGTAGGAAAGAAACGCTGCCAAAGAGAAGAGTGGGGCAGGAATAAAAACTTAACCTGAAAGGAGGGAATACGAAGCGTGCCATGGAGTGAGGTGGGAGCTACCTCAAAGGTGGGCAGGAGGGAACCTGCCCACAGCCTGCCTTGCCTGCTCCTCCCAAAAAGGGTCTGGATGGCAGCTGCTCCTTCCCTGGGAAGAGAAGGGGAGGTGTCTGCCTCTCAGTGCCTCGGAGAGCCACCGTGTCCCTCCCCAGACACGCAGGCAGCCCTTGCGTGGAGAAACATAATTGTATAATCATTTCTATGGTGACAAGGAGGGAGAACATAACTTCGGGATGTTTGGAATAATAATGTGCCTGATCAAGTGCATATTTTAAAACCCCGCTGCCGGTGCGTGAAAAGGTCCTGGGCAACTTCTGGCAGCGAGGAGAGACAGCCTGCCATAAACCTCCTCACACACAGCAGCCTGGAAATTAATTTCCAGAAGCACAGCTGGCCACAGAGCAATTTTAGCAGGAGTTTTTCGCTGAACCCCTGGTGGCAAACAGCACTGTTAGCCCAGCACGGAGTGACTGGACTTCCAAAGGAAGAGCCAGGTCTGCAGGAGAGGGTGGGAAGAGCACAGTGCCCGTGGTGAGCTCCAGCATCCCTCCTTACAGGGTGCACTCACCCCTGAATTCCCCCTCCGACTGCAGCCCTTGGAAAAGCAGGAGGGGCTGTCCTCACCCATGTTCACTTGCTTGCCTGAAGTCTTTTCTGAAAAATAAGCCCTAAAATATTTCCAATATAGAAATTTAGAAATAGTCTATTTAGAAAGGGGCTTCCAGTCCTCTGTCAACAGGCAATGATCGTTTGCAAGTAATTAACAAATGATTTTGGTAACTTGGGTCTGAATGCAAGACTTCCTGGGGAAATGGAGTTGATGGGATTCAAATTCAAATTGCAAGACGAGAACCAAGACTGCATATGCATACACACACACACACTCACATATATATATATATATAGACATGCATATATATATATATATATGTATATATCTGTGTGTTCCAGGAAAGATGCACCAGGTTATTTTTAAAAGGAATAGGAATAGAGGGCAAAGAAATAGAAACAATTAGGAAAGAATGGAGTGAGTCTTGCCTTCTCTGCGTTTTTACATGGCCCTGTATGAACTGACTTTCCTCACAAATTTTGAAGAATAAAAAATTCCATCATGGAACATGTTAATAGATTCAGGAGTTAGGGAATTGTGTGAGGCATTGACCATTCCTATGCCTTTTGCTTTGGTCATTTTAACTCAAGTCTTGACACTTTGGTTGCCTTCCAATGAGGACTGGAACAAGGAATGTAGCAGATATCTTTAACTCTGGTGTGCTTCTCTTTGTGTAAGACATTCTCTGTGTTTCAGATAGCTTGGACAACATCACCAGGCTTGTCAGATTCCCCTTCTGTTTCTCATAAACTCACACAATACTGCAGAGCTGGGCTTCATCCTCATGCAGAGGAACATCCAGACCCATCCAAAAGACTGTTTACATTGACATCAGAGAGGATGGAAAACAAATTATGACACTTGTGTTTGTGTTGGGAGCCAGATACTGCTGGAACCATGGAAATCACGGACAGCACTCAGATTGGATGCTGGTATCTATAAATCTATTTTTAATTTCCAAGCAGACCGAATCTGGGAACCTCTAAGCAGACTATTAGTCCCCGACTGCTCTGACACCCGTCTGTCCACGTACTTCTCCAGCAAGGAGAGGGCTGGGGAGTGCCTGCTCAAAACCTAGAGATAGATAAAATTAATAGATAAATAGATAAATAGATAAATAGATAAAAAGATAAACATGAGGAGGGGGTTCACTGGAAGGGTTTAAAAGAATTATTTTCTTCACTGTTCCCCTCATGGCCTTGAAAAAAATTTGAAGTTTGTTGTTGTCCTAGTCCTACACTGTTCCAAACCATCCTGGTTTGGTTTTGCTCCTGAGCAGATAACACAATCTGACCTGCTACAGCTGAATTTAGCATTTGTTGTTTCCCCAGACATGACAACCACCTATGGAGGTGAAAGAGGATTCATAAAACTCCTTGAAAGACAGGAAAAAGTCCCCCAGTTTAAAAAAAAAAAAAAAAAAAAAAAAGTATTTATTAAAATTGCTTTTAAAAAGCCAGCATGTAGGGAGAAAGAAAAATATAAATATTTATATACTCCTTATTATTGTGTATTTCTTTGCTGGATTAATTTGTCATTTCTATCCATATGCAAGTTACTTTTAGTTCTGAGAGTGTTTTTTTAAAAGAAGGACTGTGTTTGTCAGGATTAAATGGACTCAAACCCAGAACTATCCCCAGGTGCAGCCACTGACTGATGATGGAGAAGTGGAGTGCTTGGGAAGCCACATCACTGCCCACTCCTGATTCCCTGTCAGGCAGCAAGAAATCAGGACCAAACTCTTTAAGGAATGGCAAGAAAGGAAGGCCAGGGAGCGAGCTGGCACATGGAACATGAGCTGGCAGATGGAAATGAACTGGTTCCCTGATTCCTTCATATTCCAGGCAACTTCTCCTAATAAAGCATTTTTATCCCCACAATCTTAAATAGCACTTCCTTCCATTCTAAGGTGGGACATTTTTGGGCTCATGAGAAATTCAAATACACTGAACAGAGAATGCTTAAAATCCAAAATATGACCCAGACTCTTGCTGGGGAGACATCAAAAAATGCAGATCTCCAAAACCACAAATACTCATGTGGAGGTGCTGGGAAAGCCTGGGTATTGGGGCAGGCTGAAGAGTGTCACTGGAAGAGAACCCAGAGAAAGCAGGATGGTCTCTTTAAGAGAGGGCTCACCATCAGGCAGAGGTGCCAGTCCCAGGATTGCTACGGGGGCTTTGTGCCCGGCAAAGAGAGCAATAACAAACTGAGGAACTTCTGGCGTTTCAACTTTATTGAAAAAGGGTACAAAGGAACCACCTCTGGATATTGTAAAACTCACAAATAAATTCTTTACAGCTGCACGAGGAAAGATAACAATGGGAGCCTGATATTTCATTCCTCTCACAGTAAAAAATCCTATTATAGCCCAATGCAGTTAAGGGTGCACCAGCTGTATGCTGGGAATTCTATATAACTCCTGCCTCTTTCCAGGCCAAAACCCCAGAGGCCAAGGAGGGAGATTAAAAAAAGCCCTCCCCTTCCATCCACATGCCCTTCCACATCCCTGTGTGCTGGTCAGTGTGTCTGGAATGGGGAGAGCTGTCACCGTGGGACACGATGCCCTCCCAGACCACGGGGGAGCCTTTCCAGACCTGCCCTGAACTCCTGCCTGCTGGCAACAGCCACACAAAAAACGCACATCTGCCTCCATCACTGAAATCCATGCCTTGGGATGCACTGGTGTGGCGTATCTCGTGCTGCTGGGAGAATATTTTGGGGTTTGTGGGGTTTTTTAAGCATGGGAGAAAATGGAGGGGGGGCAAAAAAAACCCCAGAACGTGAAAAGAGATGGGAGGAATTAAAACATCTCTGCCACTTTTAAATCACCAGGGGAAAAAAGGGGTACCATGGGTCAGGCAAATGTCGTGAAGATGGGCTATAAATTTTAACCATGAAAGAAGGATATCTTAAATAACACAATTCGCCTTAGATTTCAGGCTCCTCCTCACTCAGATATCCTAGGATAAACGCCACGCCAGGCAGCAAGTGTGTGGAGGACTCCAGAGGGGAGAGCAGATGGGAGAAGGCTCTGTTTGTTTCACAGCCCTAAGGCATCCTGGTTCCCTTGCTCAGGGTTTTGGGACCAGGGCTGGGCTCTCCTCACGGACCCCCAGCACCACCAGGATTAGGCACGGGAAGGACAGCTCAAAAACCAGCAGAGAATCCATCAGCAAAGGTCTGGGTAGTTGGTTTTTTTTCCTCAAGTATAGCATTTATACCCAGAAATGGAGAAGCAAGAAACCTTTTGGAGCTCCCAAACTCAGTCCCATGAGCTCTCAACAGGCTCCCACCACCCTTTGGGTGCCAAGAGCTCCTCTGTGCCAGAAATCCCCAAAAGGGTTAACTTCATGCCTACCTTAGACCCAGCAGTACCTGGGGACCCTGATTTGAGGTTATCCTCTCTCATTCATCACACTGAATTCCCAGCACTTGGCTTAAAGGAAGAAGGATATTAATAAGTCCTTTAAGGAAAAAAAAACAAAAAAAACCCAAAAAAACCCCAAAAAAACCCAAAAAAACCATGCTTAATCTTGGTATTTAACTTCAGTTTCTGGATGAACTTGTCTGGAAGTGCAGCCAGGATGGACCTGAAGTGGATGTACACCACGATACAGACTGGTGGTGCTGGCTCTATTCAATCATTTGTGCCAAGTAATTCTCAAAAAACACTTGGGGTGTTTCTTCTCTCAGAAGCCAGGAGGGATTATTCCCATTTCCATATTCCCATACCTCCCCCTGGCTTGCCGATATCAGGGCACCTAATAAGCATTTCAGAAGGGAAGTCTGCAGATTGATGTGATATTGGATTGTTAGTTAAATAAATAATTGCAGATACCTCAGTGAAGTGGATTTTTTTCTATCCTAAATGTTCACAAGTTGGTGTCATTCGACTCCCACTGCAGTCATTAAGTGAAAAAATTGAAAAAATTGGGCTCTACTCCTGGTCTGTAGCTCATCCTGGGCTTCCACAAAGGCAGTTTCAGGACAGGGACCTCAGAAAAGGAAACGATGAAGCAGAAGTGCAGAGAAGAAAGGAGGGAGAAAGGAGAAGAGTTTGTTCTTTCCATTAATATTAAACTGTCCATTTCCCAGCTGCAGGCTCATGAAAAGGAGACTTCTTGGTTATTACCCAGTAATTCAAACCTTACAAACCCACCTCAGAACACACAAAGACAAGGTAAAAAAGGATTTTTTTATTGCAGTTAGGTGAAATCTGATCCCCAGCAGAGCTCGGAGAATTTGCTAAGCTTTTGAACACATATGCAGACTGGTATCAATTTCTTTTTTTATTTCTTCCTTACCAGATGAACAATATATATGAACAATATCACGTGTGTGTGTGTGTGTGTGTGTGTTGAGAGAAACAAAACATACATAAGCATAAATTAATGGACAGTGCTGTGATTTCCTTCCTGGCTTTTCACACTGCTCTGGGCCAGCTGTTAAAAAACCATCAGCCAGACCCGCTACCACTTTGACTTGACATGTGCCAGTGCTTTTTATCGTCACCACCCCCTCCTTGGGGTCCAAAAACAGTGAAATCCTCCCAGGTTTTCCATACATTCTTATCCAAACACCAGGACCTCGGATGGTTCACAAAAAGCAGAAGGAGCTGAAATCTTGGCGTGGAAAAGCAGCAGGGGGACACTCACACACCGATGCACTCTCACACCACTTTTGTACAAAAAGCAGAGCAAGCCCACAGACAATTGCTTCGTTTTCTGTGATTCCTGAGATCCAGATCAGTTAGCTCCCTGGGACATTAAGCCCCCAGAGCTCCACCCATCCTCTGTGGTTTGCACACACCGATGAAGGCAGGAGAGCTGCGGAGGGGCTGGACAGCGTGGCTGATGTGGCACAGCACGGGCATGGCACTTAATTCACCAGTATGTGCTCAGTAAATATGTGGAGAGAGAGAGAGAGAGAGAACCATTTTATTCTTCTTCTGAGTCAGGTATGAACTTCTAACGCAAAGACCTACCCAGAGAATAGAACATCACGCGTGTTTGTTTTATAAAACTGTGCAAAGGTTTGCCAAAGCTGTCACAGTGCGATAGCTTTGGCCATTTATTTTCCCAGATCTTCACTCTGAGCGCCACTGCTTGCTTTGGAGTCTCTTTTTTATGAGCAGGCTTTAATAAATGTAAAAATCTTGAGTGCTCTGAAGAGGTTATTTGCCCTATCCACGGTTAACTCCAGGCTAAAGGGGAAGACTTTCTGCTGTCATCCTTGTGCCACCTGAGTCCTGCCAGGCCCACAGCCCACTGCAGGCAACCTCCTCAGTGCAGCTCCACAAAATTGCGTTTTGGCTAATCCTAAACCCAAAAGAAACAAATGTGTTAAATAAGCCTGTTGAAGTCGACAGCAGCCTGCACATGTCAAACCAACTCGGGAATTATCAGCAACTCCGTACTGGGATCAACCTTTTCCTGCACCATATTGCTGAGGGTACTGACCCTGAAAATAAAAGCAATTTTGATGCTGCTAATGTGATTTCTGGCTGGGCTGTTTTTTGTTTTTTGTTTGTTGTTTTTTTTTTTTTTAAACACAGCACTAACTGCTAAGAATTGCAGCCAAGGCAGTACAGCAGCAAAGCCCTTTGTCACAAATCCCTGCACCCACATCATGCAGAGACAGATCAGCCCATGTGGAGCTCCATGCAGGATTTGGGTCCCATTTAGCCTCACATCCACCTGTATCCCCAGTTTTCATGCTGTTCTTCTTCTGTTTATTGCCACACACAGCACAAGGAGCCACATTCTTGATGTGACACATCACTGCGCCAGCAATGGTGACTTTCAGCTGTCCTTCAAATGATTAATATCTAAGGCAATGTACTTTTTTCATACTTCTTTTTTTTTCCCCACGGACTGGGTTGTCTGGTAAAATATAATTTCCATCAAATGGCTTAAAACAACTAGCTAACCAATGAAATCACGGAGATGCTAGAGGGTGCTTATGCATATCTAGACATAATTATAGCCCAGTTATCAAATACATTTCACCAAAGAAAGCACCAAATCCCATCCTAGAAGTAAAAATACGCAACTGGGGGGAAGAGGAAGACTGGTTTTGAACTTCATGAGAAGGAGAATGAGCTCAACCCTTTGCCAGCACCCAAGGCACACATGAGTGTCTGTGTGAGAGAGAGAGGCTGTGACAGCCCCTCCAGTGGAAACAGCGCCAGGGAGGCCTGAAACCACATCAAACACCAGAAAAAGAAGTGGTGGAGGAAACCAGTACACACAAACAAGTGGTTTTTTTCCATTGTAAGGCTCAGACCGTGTGGCACAGGGTGCCCTGTACAGATAATTTCCCCGTGGTGAGCTGCACGTGTGTGAACAGGCACAGCACAGCCAGTGGGAGCAATGAACCCGTGGAAGGTTTGTTCTTAGCAAGTTTTGCTTCCAAGCTGATGGCATTTCTGCTGTCTCTGGGCCCTTCATGGGTGAACTGTGTGACAAAATCATCCTGGCTCCTTCTGTGCAGAATGGAGGGAAGTTGTGGCTCCTGCTGGAAGCAGAAAGGGCAAGGGGTTGTTGGGTTATTGGTAAACCTTTCCTTGAGACCCAGAATCACAGAGTATCTCAAGCTGGAAGGGACCCACAAGGATTATCCCTCCCTACCCCTGAGCTGTAATTACTTTTGGGGTTGTTTTTTTTCCCCCCTCCCTGGTGGAAAAGAGGGGCAAATAAAGATTTTTTGTTCTGACCTAGGCGTTCCTGCTCTCTCCATTCTCCAGTAATGATTTAGGACTCGTTCAATCACCTGAGCAACCCCTGCTCATCTGTATGGCACAAGAATGAAAGTCTGCAGAACGAGTCTCATAGTTAGGCACTCCACAGGAAGATTAAACATTCTACAGAAGGACGAAGGATTCCTCAGAAAAGGCTTCAAAGCTGCCTCGGTCACGTATCTGTTGAAAAAGACTAAACAAAAGCGTCTCTCTCCCATGATATCTTGCCCAAAAAATCTTCCCAGCTACACAGCAATAAGTATAGATAACTGGAATTAAAATAAGGGAGTAGCATTTACTGACTTAATTTCCTGAATAGCCCTTTGTTAAGGGCTGTGTGTGAAACCTGCCAGTTAGATTAATCAATGATTTTGGAGGATCAACAGAATGGGCAGAAACACAAAGTAATTGTACATATTACTGTATCAGTAAAACTGCGGTCCTGTGATGTGACATTGTTTAAGTCAGTCTGGCACAGCCACACAAGCAATGTTTCATGTTTCACTGCAGATATCCTTAACATTAATCCATACCGTAACTAGCTGCAGCAAGAGAGAGGGGGGGGGAAAAAAAAAACAAACCCCACCCGGTTTGGAGCTATCCTGTATCTCAGACAGGGTGATATAACATAGCATATGTTTTAAAATGATAAAGACTTCCAAGAATAAGACACAGTTTCCAGAATAATATTCATACACGCCCAAACAAAAGCAAAATCCTGTAATAATTGAATAATTGCAGCTTTGCCTATAGAAGAAAAAGTTAAGGGGGGAAACAAACCCCCAAAATCCAGCCCAAGCCTGCCCTTTTCGGTGGCTTAGCTGGTCAACACTCGTACACAAAGCTCAGTGCTCTTCCCTAAAACCGAAGAATTAATCAGCATTATGTAAGAGATTTTTATAACACTCTAAAAATACATTGTGAATTCCTTTCCAGTGTCGGACTGAGAAGCTTTAAAGTACTGCCACCCCTCATCCCCTTTTGTAACAAAGGCTGGATCTTCATTTCTGACATTGGCAACTGGAATTCCGCCTCAGTGTTTGCGCCTCAAATCTCATTAATTACAGCGCTGGCCTCCTGAGATGCCACTGCTCCTGCTGAGAGCGGGGTTTGTGCTGGGAATGACTGGAGCAAGGGCAGGGCTGCGCGGGGCTTGGGCGTGCATCACCTCCAGAGCAAGAATTTCTGAGGCGCCCAACTTGGGCAGGCTGCTCGGGTGGTTTTCAGCCTGGATTTACCTCCTCTCTAGGCTTAGCTTTTGCCGTCGGGTTTTGTTGGTTCCTCCCAAGGCGGGGGTGGCATTCCCCGCAGCGCCCTCGCTCCCCTCTGCGCTCCGCTTTTCACACAAAATGGGATAAATAAGGGTTAGCGCCGTTCCTGCAATTTCCACCCGAGGATCTCCAAGCAAAATTACAAAGTCATCACCTGAATGTTAATGGTGGCTTGGGAGGCAGGCCTGTGAAGAGAATGAGTTTTAACACGTAACATTTTACATTCACCGGGGCCGTCCTGCTGGTGTCCCAGGGCCCTTCCCCTCCCCTCCCCACGTTCATCCCGCTCTGCCCCAAATCACAATTCGGTCTCCGAGCGCACAACCCGTTTGGCGGTCCTTCAGGCCAAAATAAACCCCAGGGATGCAAATAAATCGCGTGGAAAACGGGAACAAAGCATTTTCAGCCGCGAAAGTCCCGTCCTGGGATGCCTAATCCAAAGGGCATCACAGCTATCTGACCATCACATCTTTAGGAAACACCTCCACGTTGTTCTTCTCAAGAAGGAAAATTCTCCCCGTACAGCCCTGACGCAACACTGACACGGCCTCCTCCTGGAAATACCCCCCACCCTTAAACCACAAACAAATCAACCAAAACCACTGAGGCGAACAAAACGCGAGGTTTGGAGGGTTGTCCTGCCCGGGAAGGATTTCGCCACCGCTATCAGTTCCGTGTGAAAGCCCTGCTGACACCACGGGGGCAGAGCCTTGGAGAGGAGTCACTCGTGTCTGATGGGCGAGCCCGGCCTTTCCCCGAGGGCAAGGAAACATTCGGGTCCAAGTTCTGCTCTGAGTGTACCCAAATCCCAGACTGAGCAAGGATGTCCGCGCTCACTCCTTTCCTTTCCTTTCCTCAGCAGCCTTATTCTTCACGCACAGCCCGAGCCCTCCTTTGTTCCGTGTCCTGGCTCCGTGTCTGTGCCCCGGTGTCCTGCTCGCCCCGAGTGCCACCAGCCCAGTCCGGCCGCCCCCTCAGCTCCGGGGCACGACGCGTGTGAGGATCACCGAGCCCCAACGCGGGCAAAACGCCTCCCTTCGGTCCTCCCTGCCGTGCTTTATCAGCTCTCTCCCTGCTCTTACCCCTCTTTTAGCCCCCAAATGCACCGCGCACTGCGCTTTTGCTTCGCCTCCTCCTTTTCGCATCCTTGGCTTCCTCATCCTTCATTCCCTCTGCCGGCTTCTCCTTCCCTTCCACTCACTCCTTCCTCCCTCTTTTTCCCCTTTTCCACTTTCTCCTCGCACCATAACCCTCTCCCCTCTGGTTTCCTGGGTGTAACCCGGGAGCAGGAGCCTCGGTCCCAACCAGGGCGAACGATGCCATCCCGACTTACTTCTTTCCCCAAATCCGCTCCCACCACACTCTCTCGCTGTTAATAAAAATTAAATAAATAAATATTTTTTTAGAAAAAAAAATTCACATCATGGGGCGAAAGCCCAAGACAAAAAAAAAAAAAAAAAAAAAAAAAAAAGGCTTTTGTTGCCGTGTGCTTTAATGCGATGAATTATTGCGGCGGGTTCCCTGGAGCACACGCATCCCACGCCGGGCAGGGAACTGCCACAAGCACCTCGGATCCTCCAGCCTCTCGCACTCCTTCCTGTTGTCTCTGCTACTCCCTCGCTAATTTGTTCCAGCCGCTCATTAATACTCTCCTAATCCTCCCCTCCCCAGTTTCACCTCACCAGCCATTCCCCTCGCTCCGGCAGCTCAGAATCCGGAGGATGTTTTTTATCCCCCCTCGCAGCTCCAACAATGATAAACAGATGCTGGTGGTCTAAGCCTGGCACAACTTCCCTGCCCGAATTTTGGTCGGGCTTTTCGTGGCCCTGCTTGTTCCCGACATTCGCCTGCCAACACGACGGGGACATAGATGTTGGGTGCATTTGACCAAAAAAAAAAAAAAAAAAAAATTTAAAAAATAAATAAATAAAAAAAGGGCTTGGCACCAAACACTTAAAACATCAAAATACTGAAAGCCCTCCTCCCACGGGTCACACAGGGGAGCGGGGTAACAAGGTTAGCCGTAGTTTAAACACAGGCAGGCGTCAATATCTGCAAAATTCGGGACTGTGGTTGAGGAGGAAGAGGGGGAAAATTCCAGAGCTTCGGGGACTTAAAAAAAAAAAAAAAGAGAAATCATGTAACAAATGGCCCCAGTGGCTGCTCTCTGTCTCTCCCCTCTCTGCGGAGCACGCAATTATTGCCGTGTAACTAAAAAAAATTATATTAAAAAACCCAACACATTTCCTTGAATTTTGTTCAGACCGTGGGTGTTTTTTATTTTTATTTTTTTAATTTTTTTTTTAAATTTAATTAAAAAAAAAAAAATAAGCTACTCTAAGGCACGCTGCTCTGCTTCAGGAAATGTTTCCTCCCCACCACCATCCCGGTCCCGGCTCTCGCTCTCCGCCGCGGCTGGGGGGATGTCCGTTCCCCTAGGGGTGAGAGGTGTGAAGAGCCCCCCGTGGGTGCGCTCGGGGCCCGGCTGCGGGGCCCG